CCCCACCTTCTAGAATGGGCTGCCCAATGGCCAAGAAGCCTCCCCCCCCCTAGCTTTCTGCAAATGCACTGAATAATTCAGGAAGGCTGTTTTACATAGGTCATTAGGGCTGTACTGTAACAACACTGTTCGGAAAGATGCTTGGTAAAGGGATAGACTACTTTGTATAGTACGTGCTGTCTGTTGCTGTAGGTCAGATCCTACTAAGAGAGCCAGTTTGGTGTAGTGGTTAAGTGTGCAGACTCTAATCTGGGAGAACCGGGTTTGATTCCCCACTCCTCCACTTGGACCTGGCTGGATGACCTTGGGCAAGCCATAGTTCTGATAAGACCTGTTCTTGAAAAAGAGCAGTTTCTGTCAGAGCTCTCAGCCCCACTCGCCTCACAGGGTGTCTGTTGTGGGGAGGGGAAGGAGTTTGTAAGCCGCTCTGAGACACCTTCGGGTAGTGAAGGGCGGGATATAAATCCAATCTCTTCTTCTTCTACTACTATGTCCTTTCTGTACTGTTTTAACCTCTGACATGTTTATGCTTACGCTTCGTTTCAGCCGATTTCAGATCCCTGCTATCCAAACCCTGTTGCTTTATTGGTGTCCCATCCTGCTCCCTGTACTGTACTTACACTGTATAATCTGCCAGTCTGGTGTCATGGTTAAGTGTGCGGACTCTAATCTGGAAGAACCCGGTTTGATTCCCCACTCGTCCACTTGCAGCTGCTGGATGACCTTGGGCAAGACATAGTTCTGTCACAGCTGTTCTCTCAAGGGCGGTTCAGTCAGAGCTCTCTCAGCCCCGCCTACCTCAGAGGGTGTCTGTTGTGGGGAGGGGAAGGGAAAGGAGTTTGTAAGCTGCTCTGAGACTCCGAGTGAAGGGTGGGGTATAAATCCAATCTCTTCTTCTTCTTGAGTCTCAGTTGGAAAGCTGGACGATAAATACCATGAATGATAACTCAAGATGGGTCACTGTGTTTGTCTGTAGCAGCAGAAAAGAGCAAGAGTCCAGGAGCGCCTTAAAGACTAATAACATTTGTGGCGGGGCAGGAGGAGCTTTCGTGAGTCACCGCCAGTGTTCCCTCTAAGCTTAGTGCGAGCCAGCTCACAGTTCTTTAGCCTCCAGCTCACACATTTTTGCCTTAGCTCAGGAAGGAGGGCTCCAGAGCAGTTTTCCCTCTAGGCTGAGTTACTGTGAGCTAGCTCACAGTTCATTAGCCTCCAGCTCACATATTTTTGTCTCGGCTCAGGAAGGATGGGGCTCCAGAGCAAACTAATTGATGCAGTAGCCACATGGCTCACTCACAACTTTAATGCCAGGAGCTCACAAAGAATTTTTGCTCACAAGAATCCACAGCTTAGAGGGAACACTGATCTTCTGCGGTTCTGAAAAAGTGAGCAGTGACTCACGAAAGCTCCTCCCCCGCCACAAATTTTGTTAGACTTTAAGGTGCTCCTGGACTCTTGCTCTTGTCTATAAATAATAATGATTAAGGCAAGAGTTGAGAACGGGACTTCTGGGCGCACAATTCACACACTCAATGGCTACACTTCAGGAGCATTCATTTTTTACTCTTAAGCTCCAAGGTGTTTCCTACATGTCAGAGTCAGGAACCTTAGCTGGAGAAAAACGACAAAAGATCCACATGTTGACACCCAGATGCCAATGATGACAGGGCTCTGGCTCATTAAGAAGGAATGTTGGAGGGTTCAGCTTTCCGCACCTCTACATGACGAGACCCACAAAGCTATTAAAGGCACAGGAGTCCAGTCTTCCTTTACAACTGGCCATGCTGTGGGGTAGCATAGCCAGCGCTCTCTACTGTAGGGAACCAACGGTATAGGGAAAGCTACCCACTTCTTGTTTGACAGAAGCAACTGGTCTTGCCGTGGAGCAGAGTCTGGAAACCAAAACAAGCCACCAGTTAAGAACACTTCAGGCGGTGTATGTGCTTTCTGTAGGTCACACAAGCCAATCCTAGCATGGGCAAGTTTAAACAGAAGTTTACTGCTCCATCTACTTTAAAACCTTCTGTGCCAAAGACAGTTAACCCTTCGGAGGGGGGCAATCATCCTGCTTTCGTTATGTTTATTTCCATTTGCAGGGGGACACATGAACTGTGTAATTATTTTGCAAATTCTATTCCAAGGAGAGGTCCTGGGGAGGGATGCTGCTGCCACAATGGCGAAATGTCACCTTGGTGCATAGTGGACGTATACGACTGAGTACCAGAGGTTGGGAGCAAACATGAGCGGGTCACAATCAATGTTCCCTCTAAGCTGCAGAGTCTTGTGAGTGAAAATTCTACTTCGTGAGCTACTGTCATTAAAGTTGAGAGCAAGAGATTTGGCTATTGCATAAATTAGTTTGCTCTGGAGCCCTCCTTCCTGAGACAAAAATGTGTGAGCCAGAGGCTAAAAAACTGAGCTAGCTCACACTAACTCAGCTTAGAGGGAACACTGGTCACAATCTGTCCTGTTGCGATTAGGCTGAGTGCATGACTAGATGAGTTGAGTGTATGCTGTGATCTGCTACCGGAGACGACCCCGATGCTGGGAAAGACTGAAGGTCAAAGAAGAAGGGGACAGCAAAGGACGAGATGGTTAGACAGTGTTATCGAGGCAACGGACATGAAATTAAGCGAGCTCCTCCGGAGCACGATGGAAGACAGAAGAAGGGCTTGGCGTGATGTGGTCCACGGGGTCGCAAAGTGTCAGACTCGACTGTGCGACTGAACAACACAACATGACTAGATGAATTGAGTAAAGCTGTTCATACGTTCTTCCTTAACTACCGGTTGTCTCTTATCAATAACAGGGCAGGGAAGGTATCAAAGCAGAAGGAAATTTAGGTCAGTGTTCAGGTTCAACCCAAAACGAAATACGTCACCCAGCTGTTCTCTCCGAATAGCTCAGACATATAAGTTAAGCCAAGTTCCTTTTGTTTGTTTACAGATTTCCCTTTTTTGATGGGGATCTGTGCTGCGGTAACCAGCTTGCTGCCACGGCAGATAAACACCGTAGGCTGGACTGCAAAAAAGAGCAAGAGTCCAGTGGCACCTTAGAGACCAAAAAAACTTCTGGCAGGGAGGGAGCTTTTGTGAGTCACTGCTCACTTCTTCGTTCTGAAGAAGCAAAAGGTGACTCATGGAAGCTCCTCCTCTGCCACAAATTTTGTTAGTCTTTAAGGTGCTATTGGACTCTTGCTCTTTTCTATTGCGACAGACAAACATGGCTACCAGTGCTCCCTCTAAGCTGTGGAATCCTGTGAGCAAAAATTCTACTTTCTGAGCGACTGGCATTAAAGCTGTGAACAGGTGATTTGGCTGCTGCATACATTAGTTTGCTCTGGAGCCCTCCTTCCTGAGCTAAGACAAAAATGTGTGAGCCGGTGGCTAAAAATCTTGTGAGCTGGCTCACACTCACTCAGCTGAGAGGGAACACTGACGGCTGCCCATCCTGATGTATCTACATAGGCTGAATGGGCCAGCTTCCACAAGGAAACGTCACAGCCACAGCTCATCGACCTGTCTGGTGTTTCTTACCAGGATGACATCAAAAAACCTGAAGATATGATTATATATATACTCACTTCCGCAAAAATCCTATTAGCCAGGTTTTGGAAGCAAGAGTATATTCCAAAGCAAGAAGAGGTCACATGTAAAATGCTTGATTTGGCAGAGATGGACAAGTTAAGTCTTATCCTTCAGGGGAAGGATGACAAAGTGTTTGTAGAAAGATGGGGACGTCTATATGAATGGATATGTATAAATGGATAATTAGAGGCTCCGTAATAACAAGAAAGACGTATGGATGGTGGAATATTGTATTTTGTGGAAAATGAAAATAAAGATGACAAAAAACCCAAAAAAACAAAAACCTGAAGATATGCAGGTTTACCACCCCCGCCTCAAGAACGGAGACTGTTTTGTAAATCAAAGAGCTTGGGACTGAGAAAGTTCCAAGCACCTTTTCTATCACTGTACTCCCCCGTTGCCACCTCAAACTCATACATTCATTCAGCTCTTGTCAACTGACCTAAAGACCTGGACTAACTATACACCCCAAAAAATAACCATAGGAGTACCCTTTCGTCTTCATCACGGGGGCCTTCCGCAGGCGCCTGGTCCACAAACAACCCGTTTATCATCCGCTAGGGCAAGGGCCTTCTCCGTGCCTGCCCCTGCGAAACCAGCTCCCTGAGGGGATTCGTGTCCTGCGGGATCTATTAGGATTCTGCATGGCATGCGAGGCTGCCTTGTTTTGTGCAGCATTTAATTAACCAAGAACATGGGTGAGCTGTCCGTCTGTCCAGATTTGTTGCAGAGCTGATGACCCGTTGAATCTTAAATCAAAATCTTTTAAAAAAATTATTTATAGGTTTTATTCTCTATTCAAGTTTTAATGCTATATCTGTGTATGCTGTGAACTGCCACGGGTCCTCTGTGAAGAGAGGGTGCAGGTTTTAAACTGAATAAATAATTTTAAAAATCCCTCTGAGAGACTGAAAACCGAGATATTTCTTTCCATACCTTAAAACTACATACAAGCAGGGGTCATTTCGTAGAAAAAGAGGTACAGGAGCTCAATAGCATAACTTACTTGCATATGCCACACCCCCTGACATCACTGGAATTGTGTCAGAAGGTAACATCCACCGCTCAGGCTCCACTGGACTGTTTTGGATTTTGTTTTGTGGGTGGGGGGGGGGGGGGGGGTAGGAATGTGAAGATCTGTCCTCGCAGAGGAGGGAGAGCTTGTACCTGAATAAAACTTAAAGATGCCACTGGACTGTTTTGGACCGGGAGGAGCTCTGCAACTTACCTGGCTGCTCCTTGCTCTGACTAAGGGCTGCTGGGAGCAGGGGGTGGGGCCTGTTGCATGTGCCTGCCCCCTGGGCTCCTTACTGCCGGAGCTCTGCACCTGTGTGCTCCTGCAGGAAATGATCCCTGCATACAACTGTATCTGAAGAAGTGAGCAGTGACTCACCAAAGCTCTTCCCCTGTCACAAATGTTGTTAGTCTTTAAGATGCCACTGGCTCTTTTCTACTCTGTGCAAGAGCCTCTGTATGTGGCTTTTGGTCTGTAACGTGATGAAGAAAGATTGCTGTACAAAGAAAGCCTGTAATATAAGTGAACTGTCATATTCTCACATTCACAGAAGCTTATTTTCTAACAACGGGTTCTCTACTGTTCCCTTGAATGGGTAAGTACACAAATTATGAAAAAAAAATCTGGTTTATTAAACCCCTGTACACTGGCGTAGACATATGTACAGCAAGTTCAAAATATCTGACGATGTTACAAAAACGCAGAAATGGCACTAAAAAAAAAAATAAATCAACCGGCTTAAATTATTTATAAAACTCCTCCAAAACGGTAGAGACAAATCGCCAAGTAATCCCTGATTATTCCCATTCTATCGCCAGAATTTCTTTCTTATTTTAAAAATGGGGGTGGGGGGGAGGGGGAGCCTCTTAAAAAGTTTAGAACCTCTTCAGAACCACTGGCAGGAAGGCTTATCTACAGGACGAGAAGCTCGGCATGAAAAGCACAGCCTTGGTTTGCACAGCACAGACAAAAACCCACCGTTGCTGCTGAAACTCACGAGTCGAAAGAGAGCATTAAGAGAAACGGATGTTTAGAGCACACTTCCTGATGCGTCAGTGAATGCCACACACGTTGGACTAACTCTTTAATCTATGAGTGGAAACTTTTGTCTCCAGTGGAAGCCCTGTGTGCTGGACCATTTACGGAAGAACAGAGCGGTAGTGTTCTTAGGTGTTGGCAAGAAAACACAGGGGAACATCGACGTGTTCAGGGACAGACTCGGTTTCGTTCCTCCACAGCTGTACTGGACCACCAGGGCGATCAAAGGGGGGGCTTATTGTTCTTCTGCTGATTCCTGGGAGAGTTCTTCAACACACTTCTTATTCGGAGGTAAATCCCAGTTGATTCGGCCATATTGTCAAATTCAAAAGGTGTTATCCCTTCAGCAAACTTGCTCATGTCAGGGACGGGGCTGGCATTCTTAGAAGACCCTTGCATACTGCTGACCGCGGGAGAGCTGCCCCCCTCCTCCCCTTGGCTGACTTCACACACAGAGACGGAGGGGCAGGTCTCAGCAACGTCTTCTTCAAAATCCATCCGGCCGGGTGGTTCTCCTTCTTCTTCTTCTTCTCCTCCTGTTAAGTCAACAACCATTTCATCAGCTGAACTCTGTTTCTCTTCAGGCTGTTCTGCTGTGGGTATCAGCTCAGTGTCATCTGAAGGGCCAGGACCAGACGCATCCAATGTCTGTTCAGGCTGTTCTGCTGTGGGTATCAGCTCAGTGTCATCTGAAGGGCCAGGACCAGACGCATCCAATGTCTGTTCAGGCTGTTCTGCTGTGGGTATCAGCTCGGTGTCATCTGAAGGGCCAGGACCAGACCCATCCAATGTCTTACATGTTGTGTCTTCTGGGAGAACCTCTGACTCGGTTCTAAGTGGTGATGACGCAACGGAGTTTCCTGTTAGAGGAGTTCCCGCGGGTATTTCAGAGTCACTATTGGCGCTGTCTGCCTGTTCGAGGGCTGCCCATATCAGGCGCTGCTGCTCCTCAAGTTCTTCCAGGGTCAAAGTGTCTTCATTCTCTATTCTCACTGAAGCAGAATCATTAGGAGTATTAGAAGGGGACGTGCCTTGGGGAAGAGGTGGTGGCGTGGACGGAGGTGGCTGAGGCGGGGTAAAGTTGGGGGGAGTGCAAGGAGGGGTACCTCGGGGCAAAGGAGGAGGAGTTGCATTCATTGGAGACCCAGGAGGCAGCGGAGGCTGGAACTGGAAGCCATCGTAACGTGGGGAACCCTGCAGCATTTCTAAATCTGGAACGATGAAAATGTGAGTTTTAGTAATGTATTTATGCGGCTTCTATGCCCTTTTTATACAAATGTAATTAAAGCATCTTTAAACTACCAACATCACCAATGGAACAAAACAAAAAAAAATAGGTTACGACTGCCAACGACCATCAACCTCAAGCTGTTCACAACAGCAGCTGATCTGGAGCATTTAAGCAATCAGAGACCAAAATGCTTGATGGAACAAAACTGTTCCTCTATGCTGCAAACGAGGCAAGAGGGAGAGGCGGACGTCTCCACGGCTCTGAGCTGCAGAACATTTGGGTTGCTACCAAAAGGGTCCTGCATCTGCCTGGCGGGATAGGAGACAGGAAAGGCCTGTAAGGAAGCAGATGAGTCCTCCTCAGTAACGTGAGCCCAGACCTTTTAAGGTCTTAAGCGGCAAAATAGTGGATTGCATCCAGAAACTGTAACCAGGAAGAAGAAGAAGAAGAAGAAGAGGAGATTGGATGTATACCCCACCCTTCACTACCCAAAGGAGTCTCAGAGCGGCTTAAAAACTCCTTTCCCTCCCCCTCCCCACAACAGACACCCTGGGAGGGAGGTGGGGCTGAGAGAGCTCTTCCGGGGAGTGC